GAGCCGTCCAGGGCTACGGCAAAGCTTCCTGCTGTCGCACTAGCGGCCGTATACAACTGAATCCCACTTCCTATTTCAGACTCCGATGTATATGCTCGTAGAGATTCCCAGGGCACTCAATCTGCCCTCTACGACATCGACAAGAGTGTCCTTTAGAACTCTACTATGACCAGGTATGCTGAACATGGAGCCATCCTCGGTTGACAGACGAAGGAGAGAAGCTAGCGAATACAGCATGTTTGCAATTGTGGTGCTCCCGACTTGCACTCCAACTTGTTTGATATCCTAGCGATACAGGGCACAAGTCTACGCTCTCTAGTTCAATCCGCATCGGAATACTCTCTTTTGCGCGCGGCTGTCGGTGCACAGAAGCTGGCCGTCTTCGAATGGATCGATAGCCCCCCCTCTGCGCCCATCAAACTGGCAGAAATTCAAAATATAAACTCTCAAACAACTGCCAGCAACACGCAAATGCCCGTGTTTTTGGTATAAAAGCACGCCAGTCGAGGAGGGAGTGCAGGCGACTTTGAGCAGCCGAACAGGTCGAGTGACAGGTCCGCTATTACGATACTCCTCCCCCCCGGCAACCACAAACATCCGTATTAACACTCCACCCTCTTCATCTCAAACCTTGGACCCGACGCCATCCACGAAATACGCCTTGACAAGCTTAAAGCACGACATTCCTTAACCTACTTTTTGACACACTCGCTTCACCCTATTCGAACGCACGAACGTTCTATTCCACTCTTTTTTTTCTTACATAAATACAGCCCAGCCAATTACAGCCATGAAGTTTGTCGAGTTCGCTTTGGGGCTGACGATGAGCTCGCTTCTCTGGACTGCCCGAGAAGGCGCTCTCGTTCGCGCCGCTGTAACCCCAACCACCACCAATATGCAAGACGTTAATGGTCAAGCCTCCTCTTCCTCGTCACCCTCCTCCTCGTCTGGTTTGCCAGTGCACCCGCTCGGCGGTCAGTCCATTGTACTCAGCATGGCCGTCACTCCCTCCAACCTAGACATCTCCTACGTCCCCGAACTCGCTTGGATCACCAGGAGCTCTCAACAAGACTCGGCGTCGTGTCTCGCAGGCACAAAGAGCTCGTCCACTCCCGGTTCCTACCTCGAATACAAATTCACAGGTGAGTCGCATCTCTAAAAAAGTTTTTTTAAAGGGAATGATGGTGCTAAATATGGAAATAGGAAGTGGGATTCAGTTGTATACGGCCGCTAGTGCGACAGCAGGAAGCTTTGCCGTAGCCCTGGACGGCTC